CTGTGTATAATTATTGATAACTTAAATTACGTGACAAAGACCCAATGGTAACGTGCCCATCAATTCCCCCTTGCTTGTCTTGGGTTTTGCTTATTTAGCTGCTATAGTGTTTAGCAAATAAATGCTTATGGCTATAAATACTCTGATTTAAATAAAAATTTAAAAAAAAAGAATTCACCAGGGAACCTACCAGCAAATCCTAACCCAGTAGGTCAGGAGTAGGGCCCTACTAAAGCAAAGAAATGAGGTTCTGCACATTTGAGACACTAAATAACTGCATGGGAGAGTTTTGGGGTGTGGTGAGTGTGTGTGTGTGTGTGTGTGTGTGTGTGACAGGTAGGAGGGGGCACATAGGGGGTGGCCTTCCCAGTGAGGGTCCCTGTCTTCCTCTGCTGCCAGTTCCCGGAACACCTGACACTTCAGAGCTGGGGCCGTGTGCGCCCTGTTTGAAGTTTCAGTTACCGCTTGACAGCCCAGGGCTTCCTCCGTGTGGCATTCAGCTACATGGCCCTTGGCACAAAACCCGTCCTCCTCGCTTTTGTGTTGCTTTGGAGCAGGCTGCCCAACAGATTCGCAGTGTGACCTCCTGTGCCCCTGTCCCAGGCAGAATCCTGTGCTTGAAAGGAGGGCTCCCTGTGCCTCCTGTCAGGTGACTGGAGGTCCTATCCCTGGCCACAGGCCCAGTGGGCCCGGAGACCCACAAAGCCCAAGTGCCCTTTAGCGACTCCCCCCTCCTCTGTTCTTGCTCAGGGCTTTTGTTCGCTTCCTTTGAGATCCCAGCCCCTGTTTCCCTTCAGAAAGGATGGGTAAGCCAAGCGTCAGAAAGCATCAGAAGCAGCCAGGGGCTGTCTCCCGGTGGGTTACAATGCATTTCACTGAGCAAACATCACCTTTGGCAAGAGGCCCTTTGGTTGCCATGACAACACGGATAGCTTGCATCTTGGGGTATGTTGCGCCCTCCTTCTGGCTGCCCAAGGTCCCATGCCCCAGTTTTCTCTCCCAGATCCTTTCAACAGGCCCAAGGCATCCTGGCGCCACCTCGCACTAACTATTCTTCCGCGTGGAGCAGCTTTGTCTTGCTCAGCAAAAAAGCCGCCTGGCTTAGCTATCAAAGGAATAGATCTAGCTATTCCTCCACTCAAAACCCTCCAGCTTCTGGTCGCTCTCAAAGCCAAGGTCCTTTCCATGACCTACAAGGTCCTGTGTGGTCTGGGCTAATTTCCTCACTGGCCTCAGCTCCACCAGGGTCCCTTTCCCTGTGTGCACACGTGCACCTGTGCGGGGTGGGGGAGAATGGGGAGTGGGGAGAAGTCTTAGTCACCTCTCTCATGCCCCGAAATCATGCCAGGTAGCAGGGGTCACATACTGGCCTTCTCACCGTTCTCCAGATTCGCTGACACACCACAGGCCCTTTGCACTTGCTCCCATACTGTCTCTTCTGAATTCTGCAGCCGTCCTCTCTTCATTCAGGTCCCTGCTCAAGTGCCCCTCCCCGGGGAGGCCCCTGACTTCCTGCCTGGCATGGCTGCCCTCCAGCCCGTATCCAGCTTCCCCTTCCCTCACGGGAGCCTTCGACCCCCGGCATTCTGTCCCAGACTCGGGTTTTGTTTTATGGTTTAATGTCTGCCTTCCCCGGCAGACTGCCCCCGACATAAGAGTGGGTCCTTATCAACGCTTATAAACATTCATTACTTGAGCGAATGAATGACGAGTCCTGGATTCAAAGCCTGGCTCTGCTGTTTGGTGGCTTTGGTGGCACTGAGCAAGCCACCAGTCACCCTGAGCCCGGGTCTCCTTCTCTGGAAAATGGATCGATGAGATCTGTCAGCTAGAGTGACAAGAATAAATGAGGTGGCACAGCGAGTGGGACCAAGGGCATGCCCCACACACGGTGGCCGACTCGTCTCCCATTCTTGTTCAGCTGCGTTCAGAATGCTCTCCTTGCCCTGGGCTCCTGGACACCCTCGGGCTTCCAAGGCACCTGTAACTCCGATCTGCCAGGGACACCCGCAGATGCCCCAAGAAAAGACGGCCAGCCCATCTCTGCCTCCATCCTGCCCTCTGCTTTTCACGAGGCCTCTAGAGACTGCCTACGGGAGGGGGTGGGTAATGGATGAACTGCCCCTGGCAGCCCCAGGAGCCCTGCCTCCAGCCGCCTGTCACGCAGTGTGTAGCAGGACACCAGCCAGTCACCACAGAGCGGGTCCTTCGCTGAATTTCCCAGCAATTCCCTGGTGTGGGGTCCAAAAGTATTAAAAGGAGGAAGGAGATTCACAGCTTTTCTTTTTTAAGAGGCTAGAAGATACATTTGCCCATTCCTGAAACTATTAAGAGAGGAAATATTCTGTCCATTCCAGTCCTACCATTATCCGTTTGAAGCTAAGATGCTTTGTTCAGTTTCTCGTGTCTGAGGTTTTTCAGAGGACAAGGGCCAGTGAGCGCAGCTAGCACTGAGTGCACCCTGTCTGCGAGGTGCGAACAAAGCCCGGGGAAGACGCAGGGAGCAGAAGGGCCAGTCCCTGCCTTGAAGGGGCTGCCGGGGCCTGCGCCCGGGGCACACGGCAGCACAGGCAGGCAGCCTGGCTCAGCGGGGCCAATAAAATGCCCAAGCGTGGGCCACAGTGGCGTCCTCAGCTGGGAAGCCTAAGGCATCTCCTGTGTTTCAGTGAGGAGTCAGACGCTTGCTGCAAGGGAGAGAAAGTAACAGGTGCCTGGAAGATAAAGGACAGAATGCTAATCCGCTTAGCATATTTATCAATGAGTCAGATAATGACAGAAGCGGGAGCAATAAACGTGACAGGACAAGGAACCCCTCAGCAGGCTAAACCCCCAATAAATGGGACAAGTTGCATTTGGGATCAAAAGGACAATCACGCTGAAATAGGATGTGTTTTGACAACCACTCATTAAAATATGAAAGTGTTTAAACCGAGCTCAAGCTTAATAACGGCCACTGACAACCTGACACGCGCAGTGACAGTGATAAAGCTGCTGCCATATAGCCTTGGGGACGCTGCCCGGAATAAACACTTGGGTCTTTGGAACCAGCTCTGCCACCTATTAGCTGTGTGACCTTGGGTTATTCACAGCCCCTCTGAACTTTCGGGATCTAACTGAAATGAGATGGCAACGCTGCTATCGCTGCTCGGTTGTTTGAGAATTAGCGACAAGGTGTGGAGAGCACTTGACAGAACCTGAACAGAGAAGGCATCAACTGGTTATTTCTAATAGTCACCTGCTGTGGAAATAAAGGGCATAAAATTGTAGCAGCCAGGAGAGCCCTGTCCCTCTCAGACCTGTCTGGGGTGTTATGTCCAGACTTAGGCTCTATCCTTAAGAGCATTAGAAAGTAACTGTTGCCCGGCCGGGAGTGTCTCAGCGGTTGAGCATCAACCTAGGATCCAGGCGATTGGGGTTCGATTCCCAGTCAGGGCACATGCCCGGGTTGTGGGCTCGGTCCCCAGTCGGGGGCGTGCAGGAGGCAGCCGATCAATGACTCTCTCATCATTGATGTTTCTATCTCTCTCCCTCTCCTTTCCTCTCTCTGAAATCAGTAAAGATTTATTAAAAAAAAAAAAAAAGAAGAAAGTAACTGTCACTGAGCCCTAGATGAGGGCAGAGTCGGCCTGAGAATAAAGCTCCAGGCACACATCGTATTTTGTTGTTGCTGTTAAGATATTTAAAGAACCATCAAATTAGAAGGAGGTCATGCTATGCTGTCCCAAAGATCCAAAGCAGAAATGAAACAAGTTAGTGTGGCAGGTCTCAGCCCAAAGCGAGAGGAAACAGAGCTGCCCACAGTGAAATGTGCTATCGTGCAAAGTAGTGAGCTCTCCACTTCTGGGGGTAAGTAATGGCAGAAAGCGAATGGCCATCCATCAGAAATGTTACAGAAGGAATTTCTGAATTTAAGGCCCTTGCAACCAAACCAACCCATATTTGTTTTTTTGCTTCTTGTGGGGTTTTTTAAATATATCTTTATTGATCTCAGAGAGAAGGGAGAGGGAGAGAGAGAAACATCAATGATGAGAGACATTGATTGGCCGCCTCCTGCACGCCCCCTACTGGGGATCAAGCACGAAACCCAGGCATGTGCCCTGACCGGGAATTGAACCGCCATCTCCTAGATTATAGGTCAATGCTCAACCACTGAGCCACGCTGGCCAGGCCTAACAAACCCATATTTGGATCTAGGTTCTTGAAGTCAGCTACTTGGCCTTGGGCAAGTTAACCTCTTCGATCCTCAATGCCCTTATCTGTAAAGTGGGAAGAGTAACGCCTCGGGTAAGCACTAGAAGGATTAAGTCTGGTCAAGTCCAAAAGCCACCTGGCCCATAGTAGGTCTGGAGCATAAGCAGACCTCACCCACCCGGCTAGGAAAGGACAAGCTCCAGCAACCAGGCAGCCAACGCGGTGGTCAGCCTGCGTGGGGACACAGCCCTCCCCAAGGCCTCGCCACACCCCTGTCACCTGTCTTAGTGGCAGGGGTGGGTCCCAGCTCCGGCTGCACTGCCTGGGTTAATCAGGCTTGGGGACCACTGTTTCAGAGGGACATCAAAACCAGGAGGCTAGAGAGCTTGGCTGATGCAAAGACGGACGTGCGCCGGTTTACTGATGTCTCCCTGCTTTGCTAGGGCTCTGCATCAGAGGATGGGGGGCGCTATCTTGCATCTTCCCTGGGGACTCCAGAGGAAATGAGTGACTCAACAGTCAAAGGATTAGTGGCAACGTTAGAAGAATTCTCTTCCTGAGACAGACGCTGGGCAGTGGGAGGGACAGCCTCCGAGCAGAATCGGGGAAGCCTCCGGGGGGGGGCTCCAAGCAGAGCAGAAGTTGCCATCCAGGGGAGGGGCTAAGCGGGTTCCCATCGCAAAGCCCCAGAGGAGCTCACAGGGTCCCTTTTCATCTTGGGGTTCACTTTGTCATCTGCCCTAAATAGTACCCTAACCCTTTGCCTCTCTCCCTCGTTGATGTAAACCCTGAGCATCTCCCTTCTCCAGGCATCTCGGAAAACACCACTGTGCCCTTGGCGCCAGACCCGCTGGAGGAGGGGCTGCGGTCAGAGCTGGAGGAAGAGAAGAGAAGGTACCTTTTCC